TTAATGGAGTCATCAATTACAAAACCTTTACAATATGGCGCGTTCTTTTAAAAACAATTTTTTTTTTTTTTTAAAGGTTTACCCCCCATTTTAAATAAAGTTTAACATTTGAAAAACAAGAGAGAAAGAAAGAGAGAGAGAGAGTGGGAGAGAGAGGAGTTACAACAGGTAAAAAAATTTTCTTTTATCCAAAAAAAAAAACCTTTGATTATTTTATGAGAAAAAAAAATTTTTTTTCTTTTTGTTTGTTTGTTTTCCGCCACTCCCCACCATCACCACCACCACTGCCACCGCCTTCCTCCCAAAAAAAAGAAAAACTTTAAAATTTGGGTTATTTTATAAATTTTCCTCTTTTTTACCTCTTTTTTTACCGTTTCGTCAGATTTCCGGTTATTTATTCCATTATTAGAATTTCATTTCAACCTTTTCTTAAATTGATAATTTAACCTCTTTGAAATAACCTTTCACCCACGACTTTTATCATTATTATCGCGTTTTACTTTCACTAATAAAATTCCATCCTTTCGTGTTTTTTTTATTTATTTATTGTAAAAACATTTCAAAGTGATTATTATTATCGCGTTTTTTATTATACAATCACCTCTGTGCGTTCGAACACAATCGAATCGTTTTATTATTATTATTATTAATAATTTTAATAATTTATTTATTTATTAATTTTTTTAAATATAATTATGTACGTAAATGCATACGCGCGCGCACACACACACACTCACACACATTTTATTAATTAGTTTTATTTATTTATAGATAAGCGTTTATATTTCGGTTATTTTATCCAATTAAAAAAATAAATAAATAAATATTTATGTATAAGTAAATAAATAAATAAAAAGTTACATAAATGCTGACTTTGTGTTAAAAAAAAAAAAATGAAAAAACTAGGTGATCGAAAGCATAAATAATTGTGTAAACATTGACTTTTTTTTTTCTTCTCGTTTCTTTCATTTTTTTTTTTAATAAAAAAAAAAAAAATAATCAAAATACGCGAAAACAGCAACAACCAACAACAACAACAACAACAACGACAACATTTTGTCAACATCAAAACGTATAAAAAAAAATTACTAACAAAAGCAAATTCAATTTTTTTTTTACGGTTGAGTAAAAAATTTTTTGACGTTTTTTTTTTCCCACCTCTTTCTTTTCCTCCCGCCTTTTTGCTACCTCCTCCCACCCCCCCTTCAAACACAAACATATACAAACAATATTCATAACTTTTTGATAAAGGCGACGACAAAGAAAAAAAAAAGAATTGTTCTTTTTGTGTGTTGTTCCGGTGACGAAAAGAAAAAGTGAAAATAACTAAAGTTTACGACCGAAAAAAAAAGTGTTCGAAATAATAATAATAATAATAATAAACGGAAGTAGACAAGAAAAAAAAATTAATTAACGTATTTTTTTTTTTTTGACCGTATTATTGTAATAATAATAATTATTAATGTTACGTCATCATGCGTTGTAAATATGGTTTAACTCAAAGAATATTTTTTTGGTGCGTCGCTCTACTACTCGGTAAGTTTTCCTTTTTTTTTTTCTTTTCTTTTCAGTCATGTTTTATTGTTTGGAAATTTCAAGAGTAAAAAAAAAATTGAAGCGTAAAGAAAGAAAGAGAGAGAGGGAGAGAGAAACAATAAAAAAAAAAAAAATGACGAGGTTTTTCATAAAACAAAAAAAAAAACATGAACATGAAAATCCAAAAGAGAGTGATAAACAAAACGAAGAGGAAACATTGAAGAATGGTTAGAATAAAAGCAGAAGAAATTTTTTTTTTTTTTTTTTTAGGGGGATTTACTCAGATCGTTTTTCTCATAACTTAAGTAAAAAAAAAAAAATAAGAAATTTTTATGATAATTCTTTTCTTTTCTTTCTTTTTTTTATTTATTTTCGTACCGAAATATTTTCAACCTCTCCTCCTCATCCTCCTCCTTCTACTCCTACCCCTCCCCTCACCATTTTTACTTAACTTTTTGTAAAAAAAAAAAAAAAGAAAAATGGCGCAAATCTCACTTATTATTTGACGACGTGTTTCTATATCTCTATCTCTCTCACTCTCATTTAAATTTATTAAATTTGGTTGGAAAATTTTTTTTTTTACATAAGTTAAACGTGTGCGAATGATTTATTAAAAACTTTACATATTTAAAAAAAAACTTTACGAAGTGATTAACTTTTCTCCTTTTTTTTTTTTAATAAAATTATTTAAATATTTAATTACTTTTTATCACATTATTACCTGATTAACCTTAAAAAACGGTTATTTTTTTTATTACCAGTTTACCAAAAAAAGGTGGAAAATTACTTGTGACGTCACATAAATTTTTTTCCCGCATTTTTTCCTTTAAAAGAAAAGGAAAATCGTTCGAATCGTTTGTTTTTTTTTTTATAAAATGAAATATTAATGAAGTGCGTAATATGTTTATAAAATAATAATAATAATAATAATAATAATTTTAATGACGTTATATAAATATTACGGTAAGAAAATAATAATAATAATAATAATTCAACAAAAAAACAGAAAAAATTGAATTTCGCGATCGGCGGAGCGAAAATTTCAAAATTGATAAACACACACAAAATCATTTTTTATTTTTTTTTTTATTTTTCACTAGTAATTTACGATAATATCGAATTGAAAAATGTCGATTCGATTATTTTCAATCTGAAAATCGAAAAATGAGAAAGAGAGAGAGTGGGGAGAGGGAAGGGAGGAGGAGGTGAACATCACTGGGAAAGATGTAAAAATTGCTTTTTTTTTTTTTTTTTTATTGCGTCTATTAGTAATTTGAATTTTTTTTTTTTTAAATATAAAATACATCCGTTGTTTTAAAAAAAAAATTTTCAAAATGGCGGGGGAAAAAGGAAAAATTAATCGATGACGTAATAAAAGAAAAAAAAAATTTTTTCATATCGATGACACGAAATCCATCCTTCGAAGTCCTTTCGTACTTTTTTTTTATTTAAAAATTTTACCTCTTTTCTTCTATTTTATCCTTTTTCATCCTTTTCCCTTTCCCCCTACTTCCTTCCTCCCTCTTTCCTCCCCTACCACAACCTCAACCATCTCACCTTCTTCTATTTTGTGAAAATACCACTTCAAAGTCAGAAAATAACACAAGGAAATTGAAAAGAGGTTTTTTTTTTTTTTTTGGAAAAGTGGGAAAACGAATCCGTTCAAAAAATTTTTTTTTCTTCAAATTTCTTCTGCTAAAACTAATTTCAAATGATTTTCTATCACTTTGATAATAATTCAACCAAAAGTAACGTGATACTACCACTACTACTACTACTACTAACACTTTGTTTACCCTTTTTTAAATCATTGATTAACCCTTTAAAGATTTATCGATTTGTTTATCGATCGATCTATCGATTTACTCATAAAAAAATTTTTTTTTATCGTTCTCGTAAAGTTTCAAACAAACAAAAAAAAGTCAAATTAAAAAATTATAGTAATAATAATAATAATAATAAGTAAGTAGTATTAATAAATGAGTAATAAAAAAAACGTCGAATTCATATAAACACATTATAAATAATAATAATAAGTTAAAACGTCATCGTCGTCGTCGTCGTTGTGGTTTTTATTATTATTATTATACGTTTTAATATTTTCATTTATTCCTTTTAATAAAAACCTTTTATTATCATCCTTTTTTTTCTTTAAAAGGAAAACGTTAGTCGATTAATTGATTTTTTTTTTTGATTTTCTCTCTTTTTCTCCCCACCTCTCTGTCTCTCTCTCTTTTTTACTCGTCGGACTGTCTGACTGGTGGTTTCACTAAAATTGTTTATAAGGTCATAAATGTAAAAAAAAAAAAGTTCGTCATTTTATAAAAGCTTCCACACAAAATTTTCTTTTTTTTTCTTCTGCTTTTTTTTTTTTTTTTATTACAAAACGACAAAAACTCGACAAACAAGTTTATGATTTTGTTTTTTTTTTTTTTTTATAACTTTTTTATCCGTTTAAACGACATTTTTTTTTTTTTTTATTTAGTCCCAACGTCGTTCTAAAAAATTTTGCGTACGTAAACGCATTCATATTTTTTTTTGTTCCCGAGGGTTGGACACCCCGAAATTCAATCAAAATAAGGGTAAAAAAAACAACCCTCAAATCGTTACATTTAAAATTTCTTTTAATGCGAAAAAAATTTTTATTTTAAAAAAATTCAAAATTTTCATTATTTTATACGTAAAAATAAAAATTCCCCTCCCAAAAAAAATAAAAATCGATCGATAATATTATCATTATTATTTTTTTTTTTTTTATTAAAGTAAAAATTAATCAATGAACGATAGCAAAAAATAAATAAATAAAACAAATAAAAATAAAAATAAAAAAAAGTTGATGGAAAATTTATGAATATTTGTCAATACTGTTCAATTTCCTGACAGATATTTTAATGCAATCAAATCTTTTCCATCAATTTCGCTCGTGCTTCTCGAGAAAAGAGAGAGAGGAGAGAGGGGAGAGGATAGGGGGGGAAAGGGAAAAGGGAAATAAGAATGAAGGGATCGGAAAGAAAAATGAAAAAAAAAAAAGGAAAGGAGAAAGAAAAAAAATAATAATAAAAAAAAGAGAGAGAAAGAAAGAGATGGAGAGAGAGAGAGGGGAAAGAGAGAGATAGAGAGAGTAAAGTGGAAAAGAAATTTAAAACGTTTGTCTCTCATTTTGTCTTCTGCTTTTTTTTTTTTTTTTTACTTTTCTTGTTTGCATCATTTTCTTCATAATATCAATTATATTTTATTTAATTTTTTCTCTCTTTCTCTTTCGACGAACCGGAAATGATTTAAATTATTATTAATATAACTTTGTAATATTTTTATAATAATAAAAAAATTTTTTTAAAACAATTATTATTATTATTAACAACAACCACAAACGGAAGACATTTTTTTTTTTTTGTCAAAATATTTACGCTTATACGATTTAATATCAAATTAATATAATATTTACTTTATATAAAAAAAATTAGATGATATCTTGTTCGGAAAATTTTTTACCGGAAGGAATAAGTGGATAAATATTTTGACAAGGAAAACATCTTTAAAAAAAAAAAAAAGAATAAATAAAATGGCGGATTTTCTATGATAGATAAACAACCGAAAAAAAAAATATGGCCGATCAATCGAAAAAAAAAAAAAAAAAAATTTTCCACTTTTTTCCACGACTGATAAGTGACCGGAGATAATTTTGTTTTTCATTTCCTTTTTTCTAGTTACACGTGTGCACGATATTGACGTACCAAAAAAAAAAAAATTACTTTTTATTATTATTATTATTTAAAATTGAGTAGAAAAAAGAAAAAAAGGAAAGGAAAAGGAAAGGAAAATGTCTGTCAGTAAAAGTGAGAAAAAAAAAGGAAAGGAAAATTTTTTTTCTCGTTTTTCGTTTACTTATCTTATTTCAAAAATAGGAAAATTTTTTTTTTTTAAAGTTTTTGCGTTATCAGTAAAGTATTGATAAGAAATTTGTTTTTTTTGATTTCAGATTTAAGTGAAAGTTTAAAAGATTTAAGAGTTTCCGTACCGCAAGCAATTAGAAAAGGTGAAACGGCCGTTTTCATGTGTGATTTTGATTTAGAAGGTGATAATTTGTATTCGGTTAAATGGTATAAAGGACGAAGAGAATTTTATAGATTTACACCGAAGGATGAATTTCCAATAAAAACTTTTCCCGTCGGAAAAGTTAACGTGGACGTAAGTAATGATGCCTTTCCCCCCTCCACTCCGTCCACCCATTAAATAAATAAATGACGAGGGAAACATGTAAAATAAATAAATATTTGTAAATTTTTTTTTTTTTTACTCGACACAAACAACCCTTCGAATTTGAGAAAAATAATAAAAAATCAAAACGGAAGAAAGAAAGAGAGAGAGAGAGAGAGAGAGAGAGAGGGAGAGAGTGAAAAGGCAGAAGTCGACAAATTTGTAATTCAAAAAAAAAACAAGAATAAAAATAAAAAGGCAATAAAGTAATAAAAACATAAATGAAGAATATTTCCCGTGAAGGAAGGGAAAGGGGAGGAAGATGAAAAGCAAAAAAAAAAGGGATGATGAAATGCCGTCACATCCCACACCACTCCACCCCCCTCGCTTCCCCTCCGCCCCGTTCCGCCCCCACAATACTGGAAAATTCTGGAGAATCGATAAAGTGATGATTAAGCTTTAAACGGCGTTTAAATGCCCGCGGCCGATTTTCTTTTTTTCTCTCTCTCTCTTTATTTTTTTTTTGTTTTCTTCTTCTTCCACGTTTTTTTTTTTTAAAAAAAGTGATGATGGGTGTTAAACGTATAGTTTTTTTCTGCTATTTTTTCATCTATCCATTTCCTGGCCAAATAGTTTAAAGTTTTCTTTTTTTCCTTTTTTTTTTTCTTTCCCCCATGATATTTTGACCAACCGGATCATTAGTCTTATTCTACTCAATAAATTGTCAGAAGGTGTTGTAAGATTTTGACTTTTTCCTTATTAGTATTATTATTATTATTATTATTATTATTATTATTATTATTATTATTATTATTATTATTATTATTATTATTATTATTATTATTAAACCTTTCGAGAATTTTCACTTTTCATTTTACTTTTTACTTTTTTTTTCTTATTTTAGGTGAAAAATTGATGTTTAACATCAACTTGCCTGTGCGTGTGCGTGTGCGTGCATGTGCGTGTGTAAAAATTTGATTTATGAATTACCGACTTTTTCCATTTTTCCCCTCCCCACCCTTCCTCAACCTCCCACCTCATTGCTATTCTAGACTTTATTTTTTTAAAATTCATTTTTTTTTTGTTATGATTTCATTTTCGTTTTAACTCTTTTTACTCCTTCTCTTCTTCTTCCTCTTCCTCCTCTTCTTCTTATTCTTCTTACAAATTTATTTTCTCTCAACCTCGAGGCCATCAATCTCAAGCAGATGTTCTTTTACCCTTTTTAATAAATTCAAGCGACTAAAAAAGAAAATTTTTTTTTCTGTCTTCTTCTTCTTATTCTTCACGTTAAGACATCTCATGTATGTACGACAGCAATTTTCACAACAGAAATCATCAATATTGTAATTAATGAACAGGAACAACAATTGTCGTCGAGCAACGTCAAAATTTATTAATATTAAATATTATTATTATTATTTTTAAATGGAAACAACCGGTGGGGGGGGGTAAAGGCACGCATATAAAAAATTAAAAATCTTTTGTTTTCCTTTTGTTTCCTTTGAAAAAAAGAAAATAATAATAACTTTATATATACATGCACGAATTGAGAGTTTTTTATTCTTGAACGAGTTTCCTTTGGGCTTTTTTTTGAAAACATGTCCGAGAAGGGGGAGGGTGGGAAGGAGTCAGGGGGGTTAGGGTAAAAACTAAAAAATTACAACGGAAATTAGGTGTCATCCGGACTAAGCAGTAACTTAATTTACATATCACGAAAGAAAAGTTTTGAAAATGAAATTGAAATTTTTTTTATTGTTTGAAAATGAGAAACGTTTCCAGAGGGTTTTCCAGTAAAAAAAAAAAATTAAGTAAACTTTATATAAAAAAAAAACTTTTTATTATCCAAAGGCTTTTTCTCTAAGTAATTTAAAAGATTTTTTATTCTTTTGTTCTGTTATTATAAGATTATTATTATTATTTTTAATTAAAAAAAAAAAAAAAGTCAAAACGTTTAACTTATGTGGAGGACCAACCGAACGACCGCCCAAACGAACAAATGGGAAAAGGTTCCGTTTAGGTTTCCTACGTTTGCATAGTAAAAAAATTTTTTTTATCATTGAACGAGACCTGAAAAAAAATGGCTACTCTTTCTTCTGCTGCTGCTGTTGCTGTTGTAAAAATAATTATTTGTAAAAAAATTTATTCATTATTTGGTCCGTTTCCTTTCCTTTCCTTTTTTTTCCACGTTTATTACAAATGAAATTAATTATTTTACGTTTTAATTTAATTAAATTTAACTTTTTTATTTTATTTTATTGTTTGATGCTCGTAATAATAATAATAATAATGATAATGATATGTGATGATGATGATAATAACGTTATTTCCAGTTTTATTTTATTTTTTATTTTTTTATTTTAATTTCAAATGAAATGAAATGAAAAAGAAAAGAAAATTTTATTATTATTATTATTATTAATTAATTTTAAAATAAAGAAAATGAAAGAATGAAAGAAAGAAAGAAAGAAAAATAATAAATGAGAAAAGATTAAAAAAAAAAAGAAAAAGGAAAAAAGATCATTTTCCGTATAAAATCCATTAATTGACATTTGAATGAGAAGGAAATGAAATAGTTTTGTTGACATTGAGCTCATCCAAAAAAAAAAATTTTTTTTTTTTTTTAATTGACTCGAATCGCGACGGTGGCGCCTCCTACCCTACCCCACCCCCACTCTCCTCCTCGTTCCCTACTCCTCCCCGTCCCGTACCCCGCCCTCATCCGTCGAAAATTTTTCTGGATGAGATAATTACGAAAGAGAAAAAAGAAGATTATGACGTAGGGAAAAAATTATTATTATTATTATTTTTTTATATTTAAAGATTTTTATTTATTTATTAATTAATCGCCATTTTTTTTTTAATATAAAAATTTGAATAGCGCTGTAGATTGATTCCTGTCGTGATTGTTTTTTTTTTTTTTTTTTATTCCATTTACTGAATTTTGCGTTCGCAAGAACTCAAAAGAAATAAGGACAAAAGATTATTATTATTATTATTATTATTTCTCGTCATCTTTTGACTCTTTTAATTATCTGATGGATGGATTATTATTTTCTTACACGTCGCCTTTTTCTTCATTTTCTTTTTCTTATATTTGAGATTATTCTTTTTTTTTTTTTTTTACTCGAGAGAGAAAGAAAGATAGTTAGAGAGAGAGAGATGGAATTTTGAAAGATGCGTCGGTTGTTGGCGGCGGTTGGAAGAAATCTCATGGGGGAAAAAAGCTCCGGCACTGTTCGGATGCGATAATAATTTCTTAAACAATATATTCGAATATTTTCACAAAAAAAAAAAAAAAAGGAAAAGTTTTTACCCGGAGCGTTCGCTCGCGAGAATTCATTTATAATTTGACTTACGACACAATAAAACGCATTTTAAAAACGATTTCAAAAAAAATAAAAAAAAATATTTTTGAGTGATGACGTAGAATGACGTCACACGCGTGACACTCGCGCGCGCGCGCGCAAATTTCTTTCGAATGATGCATACGTTAGCGATAATAAAAAAAAAAACTTTTTTAGAAAAACAACGACAACGCGAAAACAACAACAACAACGACAGACGGAATAAATTTTAATTAACTAAAAAAGAGACAAATTTTATTTTCTTACAAAAACAAAAATGTTTGAAAAGAATTTGCCATTACTACAACAACAGCAACAACAACAACAACAACAACAACAAAACTACGTGAAAGAGTATTAAGATAAATGAAGACGTTTATTTATTTATTTATGTAATTTTATTATAAAAAAAAAAAAAAATCACGGGAAACTTATTTACGCTTTTATTTACTCTATCACTTAAATAATAATAATAATAATTTTTTTTTTCGATTTTCTAATTTTTAAAGAACGACAGCAAGTTTGCTAAACGACAGTAGAAAAAAAATTTTCGAAATCTTTAATAAATTATTATTAAATAAATGTGTTAAAAAAAATATATATACGTCGTAAAAACATCTTTTTTCTCTCTTTAACACTTCATAGAACATTCTAGAATAATTACATAGCAATAAAATTTTTTATAAAACACGTGACATGTTATTTTTTTTAGGTTTTGCAAAACAGACGAGAAATTTCTATTGTTTCTAACTTTCCCAATTTTTTTTAAATTTTTCAAATGGATTATTTAAAAAATTAAAAATAATCGAAATTATATATCGAAAATAATCGATTATTTATCGATCGAGAAAAAAAAAAAGCAGAAGAAAAATAATTTATTGATAATGTGAAGGCGTAAACTTTTTAATTGTAAAAACAATTCGAAAATTACGGATTATCATCGTCGATAAATCTGGAAAATTTAACTGGAGAAAAATTAAAAATCAATTTTTTTTTTTTTAACGTCTGATGGGGGAAAAGAGGGGTGAGGGAGGGGGAAAAATTGATAGTAGTGAGTGAGTGAATGAGTGTTTTCAAAAAAAAAAAAAAAATTCATAAAAATTGAATAAAAAAAAAATGGCGTCGTCGGCGGCGACGGAGGAAAAGCGTCAGCTTTGGGGACCGAAAAGAGGAGGCGGCGTCGGCGGACGACGTGAACACAAACAAAATTTATAGTTTTCCCTATACAGCATCGACATGATCTACAAGATTCATCTCTCTCTCTCTCTCTCTCTCAATGAAATACGTGGAATAATCTTTTTACCGAAAAAATCTAGAATGTATATATATATGAATCTGTTTTATGTTTTATCTCAAGATTTTTTCACGACAGGGAAATAGAAAAAAAATTTCCCTGCATTTTTCCCTGCTTTTTTTCCCCGCTTTATCATAATTTATTTTATTAAAATATAATTTTGTTTTCGCCATTTTTGTTTTTTCTTTTAATTTTTTTGATTTCAATTTTTTTTTAAATTGATTTTTTTTTTTTATAAATAATAATAATGATAATTTTTACAAGTAATTTGTATTCCATGAAAATCTCTGGAGATTTTTTTTTTTTTTATCACACAAGAATACTTAACACTTTGATTTCTCTTGAGTATCTTTTTTTTTTTCAACTCATTTTACATATCCGCCATTTATTCATCCATCTTTGTTTTTTTTTTTTTTTTTTTTCATTCGATATTAGTTTCGAAAACTTTTTCAATAGTTTTTTTTTTGAAAATTTTGATTTTCCTTTCCGCCCCCCTCAAAAAATAAGAAAATTTCATTTTTGAATCTTATTATCTTTTTAAAACAAATTTTTTTTTTTTTGATAAGAAAAAGGAAAGATCCGGTTTTTAAAGTTTATAAGATGTAAAAGGAAAAAAAAAACTTTTCTTCTTCTTCTTCCACTTTCTTTTTTTTTTTCTTCTTCCACT